AAGACGTGCGAGCGCAGGAATGCGGACGTGGGGAGTTGAACCCCGACAGCTGTCAATGCCAGACTACTTGTCCAGACGCATTAACGAATGCAGTGGTACACCGTGCACCACGTCTGCTTCTCATCTCACTTGCTGCCCAGGTTATGTGAGGGAACTTGAATTTATTTGAACTAGGCCCAATTGCAAAAAATGTGGGAAGCCGGCCTTTCTATGCAGAGTCAAGCCCCAATTGCTCAATATTAATGTTGCGCAGTCAAAGCCAACCCAATGCACCACGTCCGCTTTCCCCCCAATTCCCTGCCCGTCTTAAGTCTCAAAATTCCACGACCATCACCACCCAGGCAGGAAAAAACTTCCAACACTATCATCATATGCCGACGCAGGGAGTCGAACCCCATCAACTGCTCAATGTCTTGTGTTTTCAAGCTCAATCGAATGCAGCGGCGCACACCGCACCACGTCCTCTCCCCATCTCATTTCAACACGTATAATCTCCCCCGGACAGGAACTTACTTTCAACCGAAATTCAACCCCCAAAATCGAACCATGACAAATCCGCTTCGGCACACTGGCATCTCCACGACTCAATGATCCCATCACCGTTTGTTTCCTGCTTGTCTCCGAATCTCTCCCACGCCTACTTTTCCCTCAACTTACAATACGCCTCGTATTCCACCGCTTGCCATATCTCATTCGAGCCCTAACTCGAAAAATCCCAAGCCCACGACCTCCCCAACATTCTCAGATCCTCCCAAACTCACCCCGACGATCGAATCTAAATCATACATTTTATTCGCCCTTTTTCAGGGATGTACTCTATCATACAATACAAGTCAACGCTCAATGTTATGTTGTGGGATGGATGCTACACGTCGTCGTGCCACTCTGGGCTAACCAATACACACCAAAAAAAAGGATACATGCGGATACGGTCGAAGAATGAGGACCGGACTAGGACAAGAATGAGGACCGGACTAGGACCGTGAAGACTGGGCGCGGGCGCGGGCGGGTGGTGTAGGCTGGACGGACGGACGGACGCCGACTTGGACTTGACTTTGGCTTTGGCTTTGGTAGGGGACGATGTCGGTGGCGGGCACGAGAGGGCGAGGGACGGGGCGAGAGGGAGAGAGGAAGGAGCACGCGGGGCACGCAGGCTAAACGCCCCCCGCCCCGCTCACCGTGTGTCCCCTAAGCCGCCCGCGGATCCCTTCCACCCCCTTCCCCCCCGAACCCGCACCCTTCTCCCCCCCACTACTCGCCGTGCGCACTATCGGCGGCGCCTCTTCGTCCTCATTCTGCTCGTCTCCGGTCGATACAGAAAGCGGGCTCAGCGGCGACGACGCCGTGCTCCCATCCCCATCCCCACCCCGGTCCGCATCCACCGCGCTCCACGGCTCGCTCCCATCTACCGCGCTCCCGCTCCCCACGCGCGTCGGAACCACCACCGTCAGCACCGGCCCCCTTCTCACGGGCGGCGCGACCCACCCTTTCAGCGCGCTCGTCGGCGTCTGCTGCGTGTCGAATGTTGTCCCCCCGCCCCCGCCGTAGAACAGCGGCGTCTCGTACTGCGCATTCGCATTCACATACTCTTGCGCACGGCGACCGCGCGGCGGCGTCCTCCACGCGTTCTGCGTCGGGTGTCCGGCTCCGAGCGCGTCGAGGTGCTGCGACTGCGTGGAGAGCGTCGAACTCGGGCGCGACCCCACTCCTCCCCCCTCCATATACGCGGGCGAGTGCGCGGACATGGACATGGCGCTCGGCGGGCGCGTGTGCGTATCGTACCCGCCGCTCGGATAATCCTGCGAGTGACCTGGATAGTGTTGCGCGAACGGGTCCGCATTGGGGTGGAGATGGCGGTGGGGCTGGTACGCGTGGGGCGGAGGCGGGTAGGGGTGGTGCGGATGTGGATTTGTTGGGGGAGCCGGGTACAAGTAGGGTTCTGGCTGGGGATGGGGACGGAACAGAGGGAAGGCGCCCTCGACTGCGCTGTTGGACCTGTGTGCGAAGGAGGAAGGTAAGTATTCGTTTGTTAGAGGAGGGGGAGGAGAAGCTGAAGCGTCATAGGGAACGTCCGGCCCACAAGTCTCCACCGACTGGGTGAGGTATCCGCGACACCAAACAGACCACGAGCAAGGGCCCGTTCCTCTGGCGCGCGTATAGACGTCCCCGTGTACCGCCGAGAAGGGTCAAGACGAAGAAAGCGCAGGCCTCACGCACCCTTCCTCCACGTCACCAGCCTCGTTGCGAGAAACCACAGTTTCCAGAAGCAGCTGCCCGTCCCCACTGCAAAGAGGAACAGAACCTGCACAAAGGAGCAAAAGCCCATACGACCATAACGGAGAAGACTAGACCGACTGAGCGGAGTAGACGCGAGGCGAATACACCACGAGCGAGCGCCCGATAAAGCGTGCCTCTGGGATGCGTACAGACGTCCCGTGTAAACTGCAAGGGCGTGCAAGCACAACACAAATCCCAACCCCCGATGGACCGACGCGAGCGCAGCCTGGCGTCCCCTCGTCACCAGCCTCGTCGCCAACCGCCACCGTCACCAGCCGCACAGACGCGAGCCCAGATGCACGCGAATACCAGACGACACATTCCGGATTGCCGGGTGCACACGTCTATGCACTCCCTGAGAGCGAACTAACAGGACGGAAACGCGCAGGCCCCCGATGACCCAGCGCGAGCGCAACCTGGCGCCCCTCACCAGCCTCGTCCCGGATAACGCACTTCCCCAAAGAAGGGGCACATCCCCGCTGCACCCTCGTCTCCCCGACAATCCTCGGCTCAGAGAAAAAAGAGAAAGAGAAACCCACCCAGCAGACTCGAAGCTCGACCCGCTCGCGCTCCCACTGCTGCCACTCGCGTCACTGCCGAGGCGCCGCCTGAGGATGTGCGAGCTCTCGAGGTGCGGGTGGAACGGGTGCGGCGCGTGGATGTGCGAATGCGGGCGGAGCGCGGGGTCGATCAGCGCAAGCCCGTCGTGCTCGAGCGGTTTGTTGCCCGCGACGCCCGCGAACGCGTCGTACCCCAGCGCGCCGGCGTAGCGGTCCGGCGAGCCCGCGTCCGAGCCGGTGTACCGCCCGCCGCCATAGCTGGGCACGGGCGCGCCCATGGAGAGGAGGTCTGCGTCGAGCGACGCGGGGAGGGAGAGGCGCTTGTTCGAGTACGAGGGCGCGAGGTGCGCGAGCGGTGCGCAGGACAAGAGCGGGGCCGGCTCGTCTTTCGTGGTGTTGCGGCGGCGGCGGCCTTTTGCGGGCGGGTACGGGTCAGGGGCTGTCGCGCGCTCGTCCTTTTTGGCTCTAGGACCGCGTCTGGGGCCGCGGCTGTGGCGTTCGTGCGTGTATTGGCAGCGGAGCTCGCGGCCGATGCAACGTCTGCAGGGGAGCTCGCCGGTGCACTTGGCCTTTCTCGAGCGACAATTGTCACACGCGGTCGCTGTTCTGAGGCGTGGGTGCTCTGGCGTGCGGTAGAAGAGACCGGTGGCGGGGTCGAGGATCGGGAGCGCTGTTGTTTTTTGTTGCGTAGGCGGCTCAAACTGCCATGGGGCGGGACCAGGACCAGGGCCAAGTGGAGATGGAGGATGGGGTGGGAAGAACACTTCAAAGGGCAGTTCTTCGAATCTGCGCAGCGAGAACGAGTCGTATTCGTGCGGTGGGCAATACTGCGCGTCCACCGGGTACATTTCACTCGCTTGCATTGTGAATTTGAGGCTAGTCTTTCGTCTAGGATGGAAGAAGAAATCAAGAAAGAAAGGCGACTTGGCGGGACTAGCTGAGCTGCGGAGAGATGATACTTTCGCCGGCGGGAGACACACAATTCAGACACAACGAGAGAAAGAAAGAGAAAGGTGTTTGTATTTACTTGTTACCCTTCCCAATCGGGCATTTTTGATCCCGCAGGCAAATCCAACTCGCAGCTGTCGTTCAAATCTTGCAGCGATGTCGAAGCTGACCACAAAAGCAAGTTAACCCAACTTAATCCAAAGGAAATGCAGGAGCTCGAGGCCGGCCGGCCTCAAAGGGTAATCAACTCCACTTCCTTCGAAAATCCCGAGCCGAGCAGCGGCGCGTGCCTCGCTCAAAGACTTCTTTATTCATTCAACGCGTTTCAAAAATCCTTCTCGAGCGTTCCTTTGACTCGTAATGGCTGTTTTCCTTCCCGAGGACCACCAAAGTTTTAAGCTCCCCGAAAAGCTTTTTTGACTCGCCTAGCCTAGCCTACTTCGCGGGAGACCCTGGCAACAGGTTAAATTGCCGCGTGGTATCTGTATGTCCGTGGATCCTCGCCATTCTAAATAGACATACGTAAAACGAATGGGGCAGATCGCCGTCATCGTGTTTTTTCGCCGCGAGTCATTTCAGGAGTATTTCGGATAGAGAGACGTATGTCTAGGTTTGACTCGCCGCGACGTTCTCCGGACTCAAGAGTGAAATTTTGGAAGTCATTACATGAAGTTCTGGTTGATCATAAGTCGCACCGCACAAGTGCTGATGTCCACCCAAATAAATCACCCCACTTAACCAGGCCCCTAAATATAAGAAAAAGCGGACATGGTGCACGGTGCACTGGTGCATTATATAAACCTTGAGAACCAGAATGCTTAATTTGAGAAGTTGATGGGGGTTCGACTCCCCGCGTCCGCATGATTAACTCGGCCGCTCTTTTTGCACCGTTCAAAATCCTGACTATTTGCTTACTTGCCCTGTGCAGAAAATAAGAGGGAAAGCGGACGTAGACCGCTGCATTGATTTACCTGTTTCAACACACACACGCGAGCAGTAGTTGACTTCAACTTGATGGGATTCGACTCGCATCACTACTGCCTGCTTGACAGCTTGCCGTTTTTTTATCCCCGAACTCACTCTCTTCAGTAGATAATAAGGCAATCGGACGTGCCCCACCGCAATCCTGAGGATGGGAGTAAAACATGAAAAACGTTCTTCGAATTCAAACTCTCTCAGTGGCTCATTGAGACAGGGTTCTAATTCTAAGGGAAAGCGGACGTAGTGCACGGTGCACCACTGCATTCTTTCATGCCCCAACAGAAATTCAGTAGTTGCTGGGGTTCGACTCCCCGCGTCCGCATGCTCGTCGATGACTTTTTTGACCAAGTAAATTCACTTTTTACCCTGGGAGGAAAGTAAAGAAGAAAGCACACGTGGCGAATCATTGAGACCTTCAATTTTGGAATACTACCGTCCCGGCGCCCACATTCCTTGTTTTCTCTTTTAGTTCCTTTTCGCTGTAAATTTTCCCACAGTTGGATTTGGGCGGAATGAGCCCCATCACTTAGCAAGGCAGGAAATAGAGGAGAAAGCGGACATGGTGCACGGTGCATCACTGGAAGGCTCACACTACACTCCTCACATTGCCGGGGAATTAATTCAGCAGTTAATGGGGTTCGACTCTTCGCGTTCGTATGTACCTGCTCTTTTTGCACAGTTCAACATTCAAATTCGTTCACTCATTCGACGCAGAGCTGAAGAGGAGAAGCGGACGTGGTGCACGGTGTACCGCTGCAATCTGTTACAAGTCCAAGTGAAATCAAAGACAATTCAGCAGTCGGTGGGGTTCGACTCCCTGCGTCCGCATACACAACGTGGTTCTTTGTTTTGCACGGTTCATTTAGTTAAAATCACTCAATTAACCTGGGCACAAAATAAGCGGAGGAGCGGATGTGGTGCACGGTGCACCCCTGCATTCTTTGGAGGAGGACTAATATGCCGAGAGTCCAGCAGTTGATGGGGTTCGACTCCCCGCGTTCGCATCGTTATCTCGACGTCATCAGATTTTTTTCTCTCTCAGTCACACTTCCACTTCAAACCCACTCACTTATCTTGTGCAGCAAGCAAGATGGAAAGCGGACCTGGTACACGGTGCACGGCTGCATCCATTGGGGCTCTGCTGTATTCATGAATTTAAGCAGTTGATGGGGTTCGACTCCCCGGATCCGCATTACTTGCTGCCTTCCACATTTTTTTTTCGTATCCTTTTTCCCCGGCGTTCAATCTCCAGACTCTGAACAACCTCCCTTATTAGAGGCAACGAATAGCAACGGTTGAGGGGTTCGACTTCGGACTCCCCGCGCAGATTTTTGCCATCCTCTCTGAGATGACGCAAAAATTTCGGCACCTGAGACGCGGAGGGAAAGCGGGCGTGGCTTTCCGCCCTCGAGCTCATTCAACGTGGCGGAGTTCAAACTTAGCAAGCCTATGCATAACAGGGAACGACAGTAAACAACATCTACAATGTTTCCGGCACCTTCCAGCCCAGCGAGAGACTCGCGCTTCCACGCGACGTTCTGCAAGGTCGATTCGTTGCGCTTCCATTCATTACAGTTTTCTGCCATCAATAATAGGTCGGACAACCGACGGCTCAAGTTCGCTGGGAACATTTTGCGAATAAGTGTTCCAAGAATATTCGCAAAATAGTCGTGCCTTCTGATCCTACACTCGAGCTGGAGGAGAGAGACAGAGAGCCCAAAATCCTGACGTTACCAGGCCTCGGAATACGTCTTTTCAAGTCAAAGTTCAGTCGACCAGAATTCTGGTACTGCCAAATTTTTGCCAACGTTTCGGGTTTCCTGACCTCCTCGTGAGCTAGACTCGCATCCTGGCATACCTCTCAGCAATCTTTTGGCCAATAGGTTAGCACCGTCTCGCCGTCTCGTTCGCGGTGCTGGCTCCCAAGTTCGTCACTGAAATAGGTAATGGTATGCACCATGCCGCATGCGCACGGCGGCCTTGACATTCGTGTCGCTTTTCATGCGGAATCCTGTCCGAGACGTACTAGGCATGAGGCTGCTCGGACGTTTCCTGATGTCCTAAGTATCCTTCTTCTGTTTCTTCTGAACGAACCAGCCATCTCTTGGCCATCTCCTTCGGGAATTTTACAGCATTCCGCTAAAAATAAATGACATGTCCGCACTGCCTCGGACACTCCCTTTCAACTTCTGCTCATTGTCTATTCAGCTCTATAGTTGGCTCCTGAACTTTGACCCTTCATTCTAATGGCCACGGTTGGCTTCGCTTACGGATCCTTTGGGGACATTCTTGACACAATCAAGCTCGGCGCCAAAATCATCGAATTGATTCGCAATGGTGGAAGACCCTCGAGCGAGTGGGCAGAAACGGCGAAAGAGATGCAGTCCCTGTGCAGTATCCTCACATATCTTACCACCTTCGAAACAACATTACCCCTCCCCCCATCCATCACTACCGAGCTGCAAAAAGAGGTCGCACTTTGCCGTGCGACGACATCCGAATTTGAATCCAAGATCACCGCCTCCCGGGGCTTTTTTCAAAGGGTCTTGTGGGCAACTTCCGAAGAAAAAGAGCTAGCGGCTTTCAGGAGGCAGTTGATTCAGCGCCGAGTGGCTCTCAGCGGGGTCGTGGATGAGATACAGCTGTTCGTCATGCTCCGTCTTACCTATACCTTTACTGACTGAAGCATTGCAGTGTGGTGCTGAAGGGTGTCCAGGACCGTGTTGAAAAGGTTGATGAGAAATTATGTCTGGGAATTCAGCAACTTGGGGACCAGGGGCAGACACTGGCGTGCGTTCTTCATGAGAATGATTGGGCGCTTCACTGATATCCACCCAGCGGTGCGCTCCTCCACGTGCGGGACCGTGTTAGCGATTTTGGTGAAGAAATGCGCCTGGGGCATAACCAGCTTCACGACACTGTGAGCGGTGTTACCCAACAGCTTCAGGACCAAGAACAGACATTGTCGTGCGTTGTTCACCTGAAAAATATGGGCCCTCACTGACATGGATTGGATCCAGCGGCACGCTGCTTGGTGTCCGGGACCGTGTTGAAGAAGTCCGCGAGGAAGTGCGCCTGGGGACTCAACAGCTTATGGACCAAGAACAGACTCTGAATCAGTCTCACCTCTCAAAGTCAGTTCAATATTTGACTTCTAGTACCGCGAAGCTGAGTTGGATCTAGTCTGGAAGAAAAGCTTCGGAAATGGCTGAAAACACCCTCTGAAGTGGCGGAAAAGCAACATGAAATGCAGAAATTGCATCACACAGGAACCGGAGGGTGGTTCTTGGACGGCCACGAGTTCAGGAAATGGAAAGAAAATGCGGGCCTTCTATGGATGAAAGGTCAATGTGAGCTCCTTTGATTTCCTCCAGAGCCGCGATTAAACGAGCCTGTGATAGCCGGAACCGGAAAGAGTGTCCTGAGGTGATCCCTTTCGCTGCCATATTTTTTCAGACTTCACCGCTGACAATAATTCAATGATAGCTCTACAGTGATTAGCAAGCTTTTCGAGGATCGCCAGCAGGGAACCGCCGTTGCATATTTCTATTTTGACTTCCGAGACAAGCAGAAGCAACTCGTGGAAATGATGCTTCGATCCATTATTTTGCAACTTTCCGCGCAATCCCATCATCCTTATGCCGCCTTGAACTCCCATTATGAATTGTTGAACGGCCAGGCACTTCCAACCTACCAGAATCTCGTAGATATACTTGAAACCTTGCTATCCGAGAAGAGTTACACATATATCGTCCTCGATGCTCTTGATGAGTGTAAGGACACCAATCTTCTCATCCAGCTCGTCTCAAGGCTTCAGAGGTGGACGGGACGCCCCCTACACATACTTCTCACCAGTCAAGCCCGTGAAATATTTGGGACGGCCTTTGCAGGCATCTCGGAGGTTGCTCTCGAGTTTGATACTACCCAGAGCGATATCAAGCTCTTTGTTTCCAATGAGCTCCGGTCCAACCCTGATTTGGACCATTTGGCACATCGTGCGGAACAGGTTGCCACCAAAGTTGTTACCAAAAGCGGTGGAATGTAAGAGTCGTTCCATCACCAATTTACTAGCTTACATTTTCTCGTTCTAGGTTTCGCTTAGCCGCTTGTCTTCTCGACGAATTGTCTCGTCAGAAATTAGACCCTGACATGGATGTAATACTGGCCAATCTCCCCAATGATCTGTTCGGAATATACAGCCGCTTCTTGGAACCCATCCACCAGAGGGATTTCGACTACGTAGCACGGATCCTCTGCTGGCTTGTTTTTTCTGCAAGACCAATGACCTTACAGCAACTCACGGATTCCCTCGCATTCGAATTTTCGGACCCAAACCGATTTGTCTTCGACCGGACAAAACGAGGGAGCCAGGCGATCGGAGTATGTAAAATCCTCCAGGGATTGGTCACCGTTGGGAACGACACTGAATACTTGAAGCGGGGAGAGTGGAAACCCCGCTTTTTCTCGCCCGTGGTAGCACTCGCCCATTCATCGGTTGCGGATTACATTGTGTCCGATGCATTCCGAGAGAAACACAAGCACGGCTTAACAAAGGGACCCTCGCACACTTTCCTGGCGCAGACATGTGTGGGATATCTCCTTCACTTTGCCAGTCATCCCTTCGACAAGATCTTCTTGACACTGGACTACCCACTGGCAGAGTATGCTGCATGGCATTGGGATTACCACCTGGTCCACTGTGATGACCGTGCCATCCTATTCACTTCAACAATGTGTCTCCTGGAAAGTGGAAGTCACCAATATGGGACTTTGGACTATCTACGCGGCGACACTCGGATCTGGGGAGGCCCGCAAACACCACCTCTGGTCCTGTGTTCCGAAATGGGATACATTGAGGGGATACACTTTCTGCTGAAGGACTCTGCTGAAGTCGATGGAACAGGTGGAAAGTACGACAATGTGTTGCAGGCCGCAATTCAGGGGGGGCACATAGACATTGTGCAGATCCTTCTTGAGAACGGTGCCAAGATCACAGCAGCACATAAATCGACTTTGTTGCAAGCTGCATCCAGGAGTGGCTCCGAAGATGCTGTACAGCTCTTGCTGGGCAATGGAGCTGAGGTCGGCAGAACGAATGAAACTATCTTAGGAGTCTCCCCCACGAACATTGTGCAACTCCTACTCGAGCATGGTGCTGAGGTTAACAAAGAAATCCTTAGATATCACAATCGATTCTGGGGAGACAGAGACACTGGGGATGGTTCCCCATGCAACCGGGGCAACACACAGATCGTCCGAGTCCGAAAAGCCACAGACAGATTCACTTTGTTGCATGCTGCCTCCAAGAGTCGCTCCAAAGAC